GACTCTGATGCAAGCGTGGGTCGAAGAGACCCGGGTAGCATCAGGGACTCCAGAGCGAAGACCTGGACCTGCGCGGGAGGAGGAGGAGGGCGGAGGAGGAGGAGGAGGAGGAGGAGGAGGAGGAGGAGGAGGAGGGGGAGGAGGAGGAGGAGGAGGAGGAGGAGGAGGAGGAGGAAGAGGAGGAGGAGCACAGGGAAACTGATACACCCGCGCACGATCAGTCCATGACAGCACGCGCCCGCGCCGACCTATCCTCCAAGGAGCATGCGCTGGGGCGCGGCACCTGCCTCCTCGCCGGGGCTCGCGGGGGCCTTGTGCCGAACGCGCCCGCCACCCCTCCCCGTCACTTCGCGCGCGTGCGATACAGCCAGACCTAGGCCACAAGAACACTCCTCAAGAACATGGGACCCTCAGTCGGCCAAAACGCACAGAACATCCAAGGGTACCATCACCAGGATGCATCATAACGTCCAACGAGCACGAAGAACACTAGGGTACCCTCCACGAACCGACCTCGATCTTACATCTCGGTCCGACAGTACCGAGACTTTCAGTCGACAGGCTTCGCCTCGCGCGTGGATCCCAGAGCCGCATTGTTTGGGCGGCCGCATAAGCAGCGCTTGCCCCCAGAGACTCTTTGATGAAGCGGCGGCGTGCGAACCGTTTCCTGTGCGATGCTTGAAAAATTAAGTTTCCCTTTGGCGTTGTAGTCGACTCTTTTGGCACGGCATGTCAGGCCCCCAAGGTTTGAACCGCGCCGCCTTCGATGTCGGCGAAGCAACGGCCACGAGCAACATGCTCGCAAGTTCCACGTCAGCTACCATCACGCAGGACACATGACAAATGTGTGGGGTTACTCTGTAGCGTAGTGTGTTGCTTCTTTCTCTCTCTCTCTTCTCCCTCCCTGCCCGTTTCGACACCCGAGGAGGTGAGCGATCCTGACCCCATCCTGGAGGCAGCGCGCAGGAGGCCGCCTCTCCTCCCCCCCCCTGGGCATCGCTCGGACGTCAATTCCCTGTGTTTTTGTTCGCTTTCGTGCGTGGTTTCTTCGCCAAATGATCAAGGATGCTCCTCGATGGTCCTCGCCGAAGGAACACTGCACACGTCCGAGCGATGCCAAGCCCCGAGCCCGTCCACACCCAGCTGCGACGCAGATGCCTCCCGCGCGAGAGGTTCGCCGCGCCCTGCCCCGCCCCCTGCACGCAGCTCTCGCTCCCTCCGGCGGTCACCTCCGATCCCCCTCCCCCTCCGTGCGCTCGCGCCCTGGCGGCGGGGCAGGAATGGTGAGGAGTACAGGGGGGAGGAGGGGGGGGAGGGGGAGGAGGAGAAGGAGGAGGAGGAGGAGGAGGAGGAGGAGGAGGAGGAGGAGGAGGAGGGAGGAGGAGGAGGAGGAGGAGGAGGAGGAGGAGGAGGGAGGAGGAGGGGTAGGGGTTGGGGTGGGAGGAGGGGGAGGAGGGGGAAGGGTAGGAGTAGGGGGGGCAGGAGGAGGGGCACCTTGTTGAGGTCGACCCAGTCGAAGGTGTGCTGCTGGAAATTCAAGTGTATGATAACACCTGCGCTGCGGCAGCAGGGAAGCGGAGCGGAGCGGGGCGGGGCGGTCAATCGTCCGTCCGACGGGGCGCGACGCGCACGGGGAGGAAACCCTCAACCCTAAACCCTAAACCCTAAACCCTAAACCAGAAGTACATCGTACGCTGGAGCGGCGGAACAGTGAAACTAAGTCGAAACCAGCACGAAGGTAAAATCACGTGAGGATAAATCGAGAATATCTGGGAACCCGCGGTTCTGGAGGACGACTCGGGCGCCGCGGTCTTCTCAGAGCGCCCCGGCACGCTCTGAGAGCGTTCGGGAAGGCTCTGGAGGCCCCGTTCGAGCAGTGCCATGTAGTATACCAGAGAGATCAGGCTGCAATGGGGCAGCGGGAGTGATACGGTGACGCGTCATTCGGCAGCGGCAGGGAGGAAGGGTCAGCGGGCCGCAGCCGGGAGGGTCACGAGAGGGGGGGGGGGGCAGCGGGAGTGATACGGTGACGCGTCACTCGGCAGCGGCAGGGGAGGAAGGGTCAGCGGGCCGCAGCCGGGAGGGTCACGAGAGGGGGGGGGGGGGGCAGGGGCAGGGCGGCGCGGAGGCAGGCGAGAGGAGAGGGGGGACAGAGCGGAAGAGCAACGGATGACCTCCTCGTCATCCTCCTCCGCATCGTTCACCTCCTCTGCCTCTTCTTCATCCTCATCTTCCTCCACTTCCTTCTCCTCCCCTCCTTCTTCTAACGATTACCCTCGTGCGTATCTTCTTCCTCCCTCGTTAGATCCTCCTTTGTCCTCAATGTTTCTCTCCTCCTCCTCCTCCTCCTCCTCCTCATCATCATCATCATCATCATCATCATCATCATCATCATCATCATCATCATCATCATCATCATCATCATCATCATCATCATCATCATCATCATCATCATCATCATCATCATCATCATCATCATCATCATCATCATCATCAGCATCATCATCATCATCAGCATCATCATCATCATCATCTTCAGCATCATCACCTCCATCATCCTCATCCTCATCATCATCCTCATCATCAGCATCATCATTTTCAGCTTCATCATCCCCATCATCCTCATCCTCATCCTCATCATCGTCATCCTAATCAGCATCATCAGTATAATCATCCTCACCATCGACATCCACCGACCCACCCCCATCATCATCACCATCACCATCACCATTATCATCAGCATCACCATCATCATAACCATCATCACCATCATCCTCATCATCACCACCATCACTATCACCATGGACATCATGAGAATCATCATCATCATCATCATCATCATCATCATCATCATCATCATCATCATCATCATCATCCCCATTCTCGTCCTCGCCCCCATCATCATCGTCACCACCGTCGTCAACCATAGCCATGCTGGGCCACTTCGGCTCAAGCTGCGTCCCTTGTCAGGAGCGGGCCACGACTATCCCTCCTGCTCTGTGGCGCCTCATGCTGGACGTCGGCGACGTGGGGGGCACGGCGGCACCTTGAATGAGGATGTCGAGGTACGGCTTGGTGCCGCGGCATCGGGTCATCGCTGAGCAAGCCGTCAGAACAATCAGAATGATCGCCCTTCGTCATCGCTACCACTGCCACCATCAACGCCATGATCATGGTCATCGGCGTCGTCATCATCATCATCATCATCCTCATCATACTCAGCATCTCATCATCACCATCACCACCATCATCAGTTTCTTCATCATCGGCAGCATAAGCATCATCAGCAGCAGCAAAAGTATGATCAACATCAGCATCAGCATCAACATCATCATCATCGTCGTTGGCGTTGTCGTCGCCATCGTCATGCTCACGTCGTCTTCACCCCCACCGTAATACTCAACATCGAGGCGCGCGCGCCTTGCACCCCGTACAGCAACAATCCTGCGGGAGCGGAAAGAGGCAGGACGGAAGGAGGAGGCAGACACGGAGGTGCGCAGGGCAAGACTCGTTGCCGAAGGTGGGTGCTGCTGAAAACCCCTGGCCCGGTACTGGGCCGTACGGAGCGAGCGTGGTCGGAGGTTCCCCCGCGTCCCCCAGTAGATTATGACCGCTGGCAAAATAGCTTGAGACGAACAAGACGAAGACATTGGGATGAAGGGTAGACCATCGGATGAGTTCATGTTTGTTCTTTATCTGGGCGCGTGGCAATCTTGATCCAAAGCGGTTGCAACGAGGACCCGAAATTGCCGAATCTCTCGGAGCTTATCGCCTCTCCCCTGGGGGTTCCGTGGTTCTTGTCGCATGACTTGCTTGGGGCCTAGAGGGGCCCAACATGGGCCAAGAGACCCCTCTAAGCTTGCGATCGGTCGAAGAAGCTCAAGGTGACTCCAAGATGGCCCTGATAATCGGGTGTTCTGTTTCAATCTTGGCGTTGAGTGCGTTGTGTTGCGAGCGATGCCCTGATGTTGACCATTGAAGCGAGATAATCGAGCGGGCCCAACTGTGGGGCTGAGCTCGAGGTACAATTCTAATTGTCACACGTCTGCGCAACAACCCCAGAGTGAGGGTGGCCGTGGGGGGGGGAAACCGGAGAGCCAAAATGGGTACGCATGTCACGCGTAGCATTGGTAACGCCAGTCCGAGGTTTTCGAGAGCAGTACTAGTGGATCCCGCAACCATGCTCTCTTTTCCCCTTGGCGGTGAGCGCATTCTGTTGCGAACGATGCCCTGATATTGGCCACTGTAGCGAGATAATCGAACCCGCCCAACTGCTGGGCTGAGCTCGAGGAACAATTCGCATTGACGGACGTCTGCGCAACAACCCCAACCGTTCAGGGCCCAGGCCGAAGTTCTCAGCCCTCAGGCGCGGGGAGCCGGCAGGCTGCACGACGAGTCATACCGAATGTCTCTCGCTCCAGATTGGCGACGGCGAAGCCCGGGCGAGGGCTGAGGCAAGTCTGGGAAGGTACGCAGCGGCCCCCATGCGCCACGACCCTCCAAAACGATTTGCTTCTTTCCTGTGGAAGAACAAGACCCCTGACGACCCGAGCACTGGACGGATCCTGGCTGGCCCAGGACCCCCAAGTCTAGACCACTGCCCCCTCCGAAGGCCAGCCTCGTGGCCTTGCGATGGCGGCTGCTGAAACTGCAATGATTCACCATAACTGCGCGGTTCCGTGCCTGTGGAAAGACAGCGAACAGGCGGGAATCGTGCCGCGTACAACTGCAGCGGGGATGCTCGAGGCAAAACGGGGCTCCCTTGCGCGTGCGCATTCTTGTGACCTGAATCGCGAGGTCCAAAAATATGCTGCCTAGGTGTACCTTGGACTTCTGAGGAGGCGGCAGATTGGGCAAGCCGCGAAGTCTCTCCCCGCTTCTCAACGGCACGTTGACATTCCGAGCCGCGGAGAACGGCGCAGGGAAGGCCCAGCATCGCGGCCTGGACTTGGCCTCGCAAGACGTTTGCTCGGAGGCCGGCCATCGCGCAAGGGCGCAACGGATCTCCAGCGGGGCCGCCCCTCACCTCCCACCCCCTCGAATGGCGCCCGCAGCGACGCGCCGCCGCTGCCGCCCCGCCCGCGCCACCGAACAGTTCGGCGACGGACGGGGTTGCGGCTTCAGCGGCATCGTCGGCAGGCTCGCCATCGCTCGGACGTCCATTCCGTGTGTTTTTCGGTTTCGTGCGTGGTTTTTTCGCCAAATGGTCAAGGATGCTCCTCGATGGTCCTCGCCGAAGGAAAAATGCACACGTCCGAGCGATGCCAAGCAGGGAGCGTCCACGCACGAGGCGCTCCTCGAGCAGGCGCTCGCAATCGAGGGCGCGCGCCCGCTCGCGACGCCGTCGGCCCGCGGCCCGTTTTTTCTCGCGCCTCGTCGCGCCCTTGGCCGCCTGCCACCGGCCCCGCTTCGTGCGCTCGTCGAGGCCGCGCCCCCGATGGGAGCGCGGTCGACGGAGATCCCGCTGCGGCGCCCCCGGGTAGGGCGCCATCCTGAACTCCAGGGCGGCAGCGGCCTGTGCGAACATCTGATGGAACTGGCTGTTGCGGGACGGGAAAATGACCACAACCACTGCTTCTTGTTTGCGCCGCCTTCCCGCCGGCCGAAAAAGAAGCAGTGGTTGTGGTCATTTCCCTGGTGCCAAGCTCAACGAAAATGACCACAACCACTGCTTTGTTTCTGCGGGCTGCAAGGCGGCAAAGCAATGGCTGTGGTCGTTTTCACGCCCCGTAGCTGTGCTCCCGCGGGCACATGCGATCCTCGGGCGGCCCCTGACTGAGGCATGACAGCGCGTGATCCACTCAGGGCGTTCGGGGCGAGTCCAGCACGACGGCATCGTCGGCCTCGCCAGTCTGCTCCGAGCCACCGAGGTCCCACTCGGGAACAGGTGGAGGCTCCACCTCGCCCTGAGACGGCCAAAGGGCCTCAAGAAGCCCCCCCAAACCTCCAAGAAGCCCAAAGGCCCCCAGCCTCCAAGACGGTTGATATGGTTTCAAAGATCGCTCCATAACGGCCAAAGACGCCCCCGAGACTGTCCCAAGAGGGCTCCAAGACGGCCGAAGAGGCCTCGAAGGCGCCAAAGATGGCCTCCACGACGGCCAACCCCCAGAGAGCGCAACTTGGCCCCAGGATGTCTCCAAAACGGCCAGGAGGACCCCGTGGAGACCATTATGAGGTTCCCACGAGGCGCCGAAAACAGTCCAAGAGGCTCCCCAAAGGTGTCGTCTTCCGGCAGCAGGTCCTTCTCATAGCAGTCCCCGTCCGGCGTGACGCCAGTGAACGAGTGGTTCGGCAGGAGCAGCAGAACCAGGCGCTCATGCCTCAGTGGGGCCCCGCGGGCCTGGTACCTGACAGCGATGAAGTCGCCCTCGGTGACGCCAGCGTTCGAGAGGACATGGCCACCGTCAGCCGCTCCGAGGGCCGCGAGGGCCGCCATCAGGCACGGCCAGCGCCAGCCGCAGCCGCCGCCGCCGCGACGCGCCTCACGCGCACGGCTGCCGCCTGGGCGCGGGCCTCTTGTTCGAAGTCCGCCTCGGAGGAAGGGGGTGGGAGGTACGGCGGTCCCACCAGCGCCAGCGGCTCGGCGAGCGGGGGCTTGGGCGCGCCGCCTGCGCCCGGGGCCTCCCCCGCGCTCTCGCTCGGAGCCTGTCGTGGGCACCGAACTGCCGGCAGCAGCCGGCCCGCGAGGAATCCTGCGGCGCCCCCGCCCACGACCCCGGCGGCGAGGCACCCCGCCGCCAGCGCCGCGCCGGTGAGCACGGCCTGCGTCGCCGACGGCACCGGCGGGCAGCTACAGTTCCCGCAGGCGAGAGCTGGGCAGCCTGGGATCTCTGGGCAGACCAGCTCTGGACAGGGAGGGGATGCAGGGCAGACTGCGGCGAGTTGGGCGGTGTAATAGCGGAGCCCAACGACAATTGAATCCCTCAGCCCCTCGTACCAGATGCCGTGCATCTGGCGAGATGAGAACTTGAGCCGACACAGGTGCGGCCCCTCTATGCTGCTACACATGCTTCCCTATGTAAAATGATCCATTTTCAGCCATCCGACGGCCCAATACTGCCCTAGAGGCTGCCAAGATCGCCCCCAGAACGCCCAGGAAAGCTCCAAGATGGCCCAAGAACGGCCCAAGAGGCCCCCAAGACGGCACCAAAAGGGCTCAACGACGACCCAAGAGGCCTCTAACACGCCCAAGAAAGCCTCCAAGACGGCCCTGGAGCATTCCAAGTGGGCCAAGTCGTCCCAGAGAGGCCCCCAAAACAGTTTCCGACGGCGTCAGACGGGCCAGGAGCCCACCAAGACGGCCGAAGATGGCCCTAAGATGGCCCAAGACGGTCCAAGAGGCCTCCATGAGGGTTCTCCAGGAAGGCCCGAAAAGGCCAAAATCATTGATTTTCCTTGGGTGCTTGAAGGAGTTTCGCATTTGCTTCTTTTCTGCCTACCGACGGCTCGAGACGGCCCAAGAGCCCCCAAAGGTCGCCCCAAGATCGCCCAAGAGGCCTCCAGGATGGCCCCAGAACTGCCCAAGAGGCCCCCAAGACGGCCCCAAGAGGGCCCCAAAGAAGCCTCCAAGACGACCAAGATGGCCTCCAAGACGGCCCTGGAGCACCCCACGAGGGCCCTCAGTCGGCCCAGAGAGGCACCCAAGACCGCTTCCGACGGCGTCAAACGGGCCAGGAGCCCACCAAGACGCCCAAAGAGGCCCCCGAGAAGCCTCCAAAGGCTCCCAAGAGACCCAAGGAGGCCTTTAAGATGCCGCCAAGAGGCTACCTGGAAGCTCACAGGAGGCCCAAAGAGTGTCCCCAGGGGCTCCCAAGATGCCCCCTCCTCCTCCTACTCCTCCTCCTCCGCCTGCTTCTGATCTTCCCCGCCATCCTCCCGCAAGTGTTCCCCGAATGGTTCCCACAACGGTTGGGGGAACACATGGTCCGATAGCTTGACAGAGCTCTTGCCACAACGCTCGGCCACATGGGCCATTCTAGAAAGCAGGGGGCGGCGGTGATTCGCCGTAGGCATCTTCGATCCGCCGCCCCTTGTTGGCTTGCCACAGGGGTGCCCGGCGTGCTGGACCCTTTCGGTTTTGGTTTTGGTTCTTTTCCACCTGGGGCTTCGGCCCGTCCCGCCGGCCACCCGGAAGGGACCACAAACTATTGCAAGGCCTGAAGGGCCAATTCCAACTTAACTTCTGGTGAACACCCTGTGGAAGAAAGCGGAGAAGAAAGATGAGGACGCAGCGGGAGACGGGAATGATGGTAATGAAGAAGTGGAAAGAAAAAGGCTGAGATAAGGGGAAGGCTGGGGGGGAAAAAGGCGACGGCGACGACGACGACCACGATTCAACCAAAACGCATTTTTTGAGATTTCACTCTGGAGCCATTTGGAGGCCTTTCGGACTCATATTGAACCCTCGTGGGACCATTCGGAGGTCTTTGAGGCTCTCGTAGGGCGTAATTGGGGCGCCTGGGGGGGCTCTCTTGCACCATCTTGTAGACCATCGGGCAAACAAGAGGGCGGCATCGATTAGGCTACCTGCTTAGACGTGAAAATCAAGAGCCAGTGACTGCCCTTACGTTTTGGAGATATGTTGGCCTCACAAGATAATCCTTGGGGGTTATGTGATCATCTGCCTTGGGGCTTCGTGACCACTCGGAGCCGTCTTGCAGTCATCTTGGGGCCTATTTATTGGATGCATTCTGGGTGCCATCTGGAGCCGTCTTTAGATATCGTGAAGCATCTTGGATGTTAAGCTCTCTTGGGTCACTTTTGAACCACCTTGGGCCATTTGGGGGCGTTCAGCAGGGGGGGTCTCAATTCATGGCCCGAGGCACGTGCGCGGGCAAAAGGAGGACCAGAGGACGTGCGACAACACGAACATGTCATTTGAGTCAGCGGGCGCAAGAGTGTGAAAGCGGTCAGGCGCCAATCGGGCCACAGGCGGGACGAGCCGACAACGAAGCGAGGCGCGGCGGGGGGAGAAGTGGAGGAGGGAAAGCACAAGGCGGGGGCCGCTCAGAACACGTAGTTCAAGCAGGGGGGCTGGAATGCAAGGCGCCGAAGTCATGACATCTGTGGGATACCATGGCCGTGGCCATGGCCGCGATATCCACCCCGCCTAGCCATCGCCCCCCTTTGGGCCGCGTCCCGAATGCACGCGCACGTCTTCGTTTCGCTCTTGAGCTGGCGCGCCCACCCCCGATTCCTGGCGGCCCAAACACCGCCTGCACGACGCCCCTGTCGGCAAAGTGCGCCTTTGCCGCGGGGGAGGGGAGGGCGCGGGGGGGAGGAGGAAAACGAGGAGAAGGAGGAGGAGGAGGAGGAGGAGGAGGAAAACGAGAAGGAGGAGGAGGAGGAGGAGAAAGCGGAGGAGGAGGGGGAGACGAGACGAGACGAGACGAGACGAGACGAGACGAGACGAGACGAGACGAGACGAGACGAGACGAGACGAGACGAGACGAGACGAGACGAGACGCGCGAGTCCGCCGGCCGGCGGGCCGGCAGGCCCCTTAGGGGCGGCGCGGGCGGGCCGGAGCCCGAAAGGGAGAGGGGGAACGGGAAAAAGAGGAAGAGGAGGAGGAGAAGGATGAGGAGGAGGAAGAGGAGGAGCGGGAGGATTTGGAAGAGGACTAGGAGGAAGAGGGGGAGAAGGAGGAGGAGGAGGAGGAGGGAGGAGGAGGGGGGAGGGGGGAGGAGAAGCAGGAAAGGAGAGGAGAGAGGAGAGGAGAGGAGAGAGAAGAGAGAAGAGAAGAGAAGAGAAGAGCAGAGCAGAGCAGAGCAGAGCAGAGCAGAGAAGAGAAGCGAACACCCCTGATCTGGGGGAGAGAGCGGAGGGAGGAGAAGGAAAAGGAGGAGGAGGAGAAGGAGGAGAAAGAGGAGGAGGAGAAAGAGGACGAGGAGGACGAGGAGGAGGAGGAGGATTTGTTTTTAGCTCCACGACGATCTCCCCCAGGGGGAAAGACTATGAGGAAGAGGATTTGACGTTGGAGGAGGCTGGGGAGAAGGAGGAGGAGGAGGAAGCATAATTGCGGGGCGTGGAAGCTGTGCGAGAGACAGCACGGTGGCAATCCGCCGGCCCCCTTGTAGGGCCACCAGGCTGTAGGGCTAGGGCTTGCTGTTCCCTGCACCAATTCCAGTTTCCAGTTTCCACTGTTACAGTTCTGCTGCTTGCTATTTACTGTTCCTTGCTGATGGACCGCGCGAAAGGGGGGAGCCGAAAAGCGTCCGGATTACCACGCCCGAGTCGCGGTGCCTGAATTCCGGGGAGGGCCCGTGGGACACGTGAAAATACAAGGAAGCAGCAGCGTCGCAGTGGGCGAAGTGGATCGACACCGAGTCCGTGGAGGTGCTGCTGGAGAAGGAGCCCGCCGAGCTCGAGGAGTCGATGAAGCGCGAGGGCAAGGGCGACTACATCATGAGCACGCGGTGGGCGCTGACGGACAAGAATGACCCGCTGAGGAAAGAGGCGAACGACTTGCCGCTGAAGGCTAACGCGAGGCTCGCGGTCAACAGCGGCGACCCAGGCATATCTGACGAGAAGTCGAACGCGCGGGTGGATGCCCCATGCGCCACGACGCAGTCAGAGATGATGTTGCCGCAAGCGGCTGCGTCACATCCGAGATGGAAGTTCGGATCCAAGGATGTGAGCGGTGCTTTCCTGAAGGGCGAGGTGCACGAGCGTGGCCTGGTGATGCGTGCCTCGCTGCATGGACCCACGCTCGCTGATTTCCCACGAGGTCGGCTTGCGAGAGTGCGGAAGGGCGTGCTCGGACTCCCGACGGCACCGAGGCCGTGGTATCTGAAGGTGCTTTCAATGGCTCGCAAGCTGGGACTGGAGGCCTCTCGTTCGGACCCCGCCTTCTTGGTGTTGCACGACCCGATGGCGAAGAAGCGAGGGCCTGACAGCCTGTGGGGATGCGTCTGCATTCACATGGACGACTTCCTCTGGACGGGAAACGATAAGATGGCGAAGGTGATGGACGCGTTGGGCAAGCAGTTCGGGTTCGGAAGTGAAGAGTACGACGATTTCGTGTTCTGCGGCCGGCGTTTCGAGCGACAGCCAGACGGAGCCATCAACATCGACATGATGGAGTATACACTTGCCGATGAACGCGATGGAGTGGAAGCAGTACCAGCAGGTGGTCGGCAAGACCAGCTGGGTCGTGACCAAGCTGCGCGTGGACTACTCGTCCGACCTAGCGGTGTTGCAGCGCGAGAAGGGCCGCAAGAAGGGGCTGAGAGTCTCGGCGCTCATCAAGGCGAACCAAGTGCTGAGGAAGCTGAAGCGCGACGCAACGTTCAAGATCGTGCTGCGGCCGATCGACATCAAGAGGTTTGGCCTCGTGGTGGTCTCGGACAGCTCTTTGGGCAACGCGATGAAGGACGGGACGGCACTGCAACCGGACCCTGCGACGGAGAAGATCGGGACCCAGGGCGGCTACCTGA